TAATAATATTTTTTGTTTTATTTATTATTTTTATATATTTTCAAATTCATTTATTATATTTTATTTTAATTTTAATTTAATCTAATCGGCTAATTTTATAATAAGTTTCATTTCATTTAATTAAATTGATATTTAATTGTATCTTTTATAAATCTTTACTTTTTAAAATTAATTTTAAAATAAAATTAATTTTATGAGAATAATAAGTTCCTTCTCATAGTTTAAGAGACTAGCTTTTATCACATGTTTTAACTTTCTTTTTTTGACAAATTTTTTTGTAGTAGAGACCATAATTATTAACATATTTTACTAACTTGTATAATTTATTGTAAACTATTTTGTTGTTTGGGATTACTTAATTTTAATTTTAATTTAACTTTTTTTGTTATTTTCTTTTAAAACTAATAAAATTTTTGTATATTTGGCAAATCTAAAATATTTTACAAAACTTATAAACCATTTAAAAAGAAAATTAATTTTTTAGATTAAAATTAAATTAAATTGATAGTTAATAGATTAATCATTAAATTAAATTAAGATGGGAAACACCTAGCCACTTCACTTTGCCTACTTTGACGAGTTAATATATATTTTTATATTTTATTGAACAAAAATAAATTTTGCAATTAGAACTGCATTCAACTGTTAAATATTAAAATATTAACATTAAGATATATAAATATATAATTGATGTAGAAGATATATATATAAAATAAATTAATATATGTTTTCAATATTTTTTTATATTTATTAATTAAAATTTAGTTTTAATTATGAACCAATATTATTATATGTGATAATTACTAAAAGGTATAATACAGTCAAATAGCACAGGACATGATTTTAAAATCTAGTTAACTAATTAAAATAATACACATAACATTAACATTAAAATTAATATTAATTTTTTTACTTTTTTATATGAATTAATAGTAAAAAAGTACATTAAGCATACACTTAATATAGTAAGAGGACGAGATGAAAAAATCTGCAAATGAAATATCTTGGCATTACCAACCAATTGCTACTCTGCAGTTAATGCAAGTACATCTAAACTTGAATTAATTTTCTAAACAGCTCTGGACTTGATTGAGAATGTCCAAGTGCAAGCAGTCATAGGACCCAGCAATTCAATGCAAGCAAACTTCATGATAGCCCTCGGAAACAAATCTCAAGTGCCCATCATCTCTTTCTCCGCAACGAGTCCTTTCCTAATTTCCTCAATGAGAAGTCCGTACTTTTTTCGAGCAACCCACAACGACTCATCCCAAGTCAA